CTGTGGCAGATCGTTTTGCATCCAGTGTAGTATCGACTCGCCGCCATCTTGTAGCTTTCAGGCCTGACTAGAGGAACTGGGACTGATTCATACCGGGTAGAAATGTCAAATGGAACAGAAAATTTCCGGAATTTCCAAATTTCCGGAAAAAAGGACAACCTCAAGAGGTTGACCGAAATTTTCGAAACGAGTTTCCGGAAATTTTCTGTTCCATTGGACTTTAAACCAGAATTTTCGGAAATTTTGGTCGAATGGAACGCGCCCCTAATATTAGTAAAAAACACTTCACCTTCATATCTTCATGTTACGGGGACACGAACAAGTGAGCCAGAGGAACAAGAAGTGTCCCATTAAGCCCAAAACTAATTCGTCATTTACCTTTGTCCTCAAATCGTCTTGACTTCTTTCCCCAAACAGAAATTCCAGATTTCTTGTCGGATGAGGAGTGTGAGCACATCATCTTACTGGCTAAGGAAAGCGGTCTTGCTATGAGTATTGCTGGCTTTGATCTGGCCGCGTATGAGGGAGACTTGGACGAGGACATGAAAGAAGCCGGTAAAAACCTTGGGCTGATGAATGGCCTTTTTCATGTTTTCATGAGAAGCAACATATTTTAAGCGATGTACAAGTGAGCTAATCTTGGCTTATTTTTTCTCATATCATACGTTCTTACTGGACGAGGATACCTAAAAAAGTGCATTCGGTTATTAAACCTACATTCATCAATCAGACCTTCATATTTTTCATGTTATATTAGAACGTGTTTACTAATAAATTAAGGCACTAACTAATTCGTATTGAACTTGTCAGATGGAAACTGGACGCTTGATCATGATGAACGATTCGCTAAAGGATTTTCCGTTTGGGATGTCAATAATGATGGATTTATCGACGCAAATGAGGTACATCACCAAAACACAAGATTCATTCATACACCCAGCATTCTGGCTGAATTAGACTTTAACAGGAGCCATAATTGTGGCTCCTGACTTTAATTGAGACTTCAGATGTGTGATTAAGGTCATTCCTCACATTTGCATTGCGCATCCTTACTGCGCATAATTTATGGCGGCATTAGCGTGCGCTCGTGCACGCGCATGTTGAAAACATGACGGATTTGCCTTGATATTGAGCTCTGTCTGTTGAAAAATGGCTCTAGCTCACAGACGAGCAAGGGCACCCCAATTTGTTTTCCAGTCATTGTAATCAACTAATCATAAGCTTTGCGTGAGAAAAGACTGATCTAATTTCTATTGCTG